GTGAACATGGATCTTGAGTCCACGTTGATCTTTTTGAACACGACAAATCTCATCGTGTTCTGAAGAAGAAACACGAGGGTCGTGTTCTGTTTTACTAACGCTAGACCGAAGTCTGCGTTTTGTTGATGAAACGCACCTTTGCCGGTTGCGTTTTTGTTGGTTAACGTTCACATTGGAATGAACGAATGACTTGTTGCATCGGTCTTACTCTCGATGTGAACTCTCTCAAATCTGTTGTAAAGATTCGAGGAGAATTACTCACTGATTGTGAGGTTTGAACTGGAACCCCCAGTCTATGATTGGACATGACTGGCTCTTGATGGACATGAATCTGGTTTAGATGCCTTGGATCCATGAACTTCTTATATCCGCCCCTCGATCTAATCGCGCTACGCAGATTATTCGGGGGTCTCGCGAACGCATGCCTGATCTAATCGCGCTACACCAGGTTCTATATTGGGTTTTGTCACCCGAACGCATGCCTGAGCTCCAGGTGTTGCTGGTGAAACGCAGTTCTGAGGGCTGCGTTCAGTCTTATTCACACAGAGCCTATGTTTGGGCTCATAGACGCGAGACTTGCATTCTGAAACAGAAACGCAGGGCATAGGGTCGCGTTTAGGCTCACAAACACGAAGCTCGTGCTGACTTGAAGATCGGCATTCACAGAGATGTGCTCGTCGTAGGGATCTCATCCTTCGTCGAGCGACGTTCTTCTTAGCCTGCTTTAAGGCTTTGGCAGCAACACCTTCAACTCGGTGGACGAGTTTGGCCGAAGCTGAGCCCACTCCTTCGGAGGAGGGGCTGTTCGAGCATTCTTGGTTGAAGGAGAAGGCTTCCTTCGGCATAGGAGCAACAATTGGAGCTTTAGTCTCCTTGGAGACTTTGTGGATCTTGCGCATAGCCTTGGGGCTAAGGGATCCGGAGGAGAGGGCCTCCTCAAACTTGGCTTGATCAAACTCTACCACGAGAGTTTCGACGGTTGTTCCAGTGAGATGAATATCGGATTGCGCCACCACTTCTTCGTCAGAGAAGATCGTCCCCAGCGGAGTCGCCATCTTTTGTTTGTGGAAAATTTGCAGTAAAAGAAATGAAGGAAAATTTGATTTGTATTCCTTTAATCTCAGTTACAATTGGATTTCCTGATTACAAAAGAGAGGAGAATGAATCTGGATTCTCCCATTTGTTTAATTCTGGGTTCTTCACGGTGGCGATGGAGTGCCTCCTTCGAATGCTTGCGTCGAATTTTCTCTCCGTTGACGATCCGACGTCTTGATTCACTGGAACATGATCTTCTCCTCACGATTTGACATTGTGGAGAACTCTGAACGAGTTTGAAACTCTATGAAAGAGTTGATTTAACCGAAAGTCGGTTATAAGCCAAGGATGAATAAGATCTTGTTGCCGATCTCCAAAGCTCCAGAAATGCTCTAAGGATACTGTTGACTAGCCAAGAAGTTCCAACAGACCGACCCTTGAACTGAATTGATTTTTAGTTATTTATAGGGGATTAAGGGGTGTAACCACCTCCTTAATTCGCTCCTAAGTGGGGCTAATGGGATGTAACCGCCCCTTAAATCATTCCTGAGTGGAGTTGTGATCCCCTCAGATCGTGGGAAACGATTTTGAAACCGTTCAGCTCGTATTTGAACGATTCAAACGCAGGCCCGTGTTCTGGTATGAATTCTGTGTCCAAACGCAATGCCTAAAAGCTTGAACGCAGCATCTGGAAGCTCGGACGCAGCGTTTGGAAGCTCATTTGCAGCGATTTAAGAGCTGCGTTTGGCAGCGGATCTGAGCTGCGTTTACAGCAATTTGGAAGCTGCGTTCTGCAGCGATATGGAGCTGCGTTCTTTGATGTTTGAAGGTGCGTTTCGCAGTGTTATGGAACTGCGTCTGGCGGTGATTAAAGCTGCGTCTGGCAGCGGTATAGAGCCGCGTTAGGCATCGATTGGAGCTGCGTTAGGCAGCGATTGGAGCTGCGTCTGGCAGCGGTATAGAGCCGCGTTGGGCAGCGATTGGAGCTGCGTCTGGCAGCGGTATAGAGCCGCGTTGGGCAGCGATTAGAGCTGCGTTGGATAGCGATTGGAGCTGCGTTCGTGGCCATGAACGTGGCGCATCTTGATGCTGGTATGCGGGGAGGACTTCCACAGTTTGATTTGAAGAGACCGTCGATTTGTAGTCTCTTTCTGTCGAAGCGTTGCAAAGATCGTCATTTTGTAATCTTTGCTTTAGCTCTCTGATATATGAGAGTCGTCAGATTGTAACTCCCGATGTTGATTATGAAGGCTGTTTGATTAGAGCTTCCATCAGTTATCGTGAAGGTCGTCAGATTGTAACCTTTAGCGATCTACGTGAAAGTCTTCAAATTGTAACCTTCTAGAAGTCGTCAGAGTGTAACTTCCATCATCGGTGTTTTGATGGGGATCAGCTACCTATTGTGATTTTTAGACAGCCTACAGAGTGTAGGGACATGACTGTTGAAAGATAGTCCCATGGGAGGTCATAATAGAGCGTATGGTAGAGGATAAATACTCATTGGCACAGTTAGATCAAAAAACTTTAATACGAGTTTTCCATTGAGTGAAGATCATAGCAGTGAAGACTTGATATGCAGTAGGTACCTCAAAGCGGTTTTTAAGTAAATAGATCCATGTATAACGAGAGAAATCATCGATAAAACTTAACATAATATAAATAGCTAGATGAAGAAGGTAGAGGAGTTGACCTCTAAATATCAGAATGGACTAAATTGATTAAGGAAGTGGAGACAGATATACTGTTTAGAAATGGTAGAACAGTAAATTTAGCCAATTTACAATCAGTACATGACTCAATGCGAGAACTAGATGACACATGACCAAGTACTCCAGACTCGATAAGACTCTCCAATCTTTTATTGGACACATGACCAAGTCGTCTATGCCACAAATTGGCGGAAAGTGAGATAAAAGGTTTTGATGGACAAACATAAGCAACAAGAGAATATGGACATATGGACTCTGAAAGGTGAAGATATTCCAAAAAATACAGCTTGTGCCTCCTACGACTAGCTCCAACAGTCTTACCCGTCTGTGGATCATGTACAAGATAAGTATCAGAAGCAAATGAGATAAGTAGGCCAGTCATACACAAAGAACTAATAGAAATTAAATCCAAGCACAATTAAAAAGCCACATAGACGGGGCCAAGTGTTAGATGACCAGATGGGTCATTTTATGGGGTGATAAAGCCATACTGAGTGATAGGCAATGGTTGACCAACAACTGTGTAGATAGTGGGAAGAGAAGATAAAGTGAAGACAAATGATAAGAGTGAGACATTACGAATTATATGAAAGAAACAACCAGAGTCAAAAATTCAGAGATCATTCATACCAAAGCCTTGTGCAGTCAATGAGTCAGCAAAGCCAGACAGTGTTGTAGAGGTGGTATGCTAAAGAACATCAAGTTGACGACGAAGATTTTCAATAGCTTGACTAGTAGTGTCAGAAGTGGTAGATGGTATAGCATTGACTGGTGCGTGAGAGAGTTGAGAATGTGGGGGTTGTCGACCACGATTAGTACGTGGGAAACGTAACTCAGGATGAAGCTTGAAGCATTTCTCAATGCGGTGTCCCTTCTTCTTGTAATATGTGCAAAAGAGCTTAGATCGAGCCCATTTAGAAGTACAATTCATAATAGAAACAATGATTGGTACACACAGAACAGCCTCGAGTGAAAAGGCAGGAGCATCTGTTGTCAAATTGAGTCGTGCGGTCTGCTGTTGTGTCTCATAAGCAGTGAGAGCTCTCATAACTGAGGCCAAAGTCAGAAATTAAGGCTGATAAAGTAATTTAGGAAGGGACTGAAATAGTTGATGCACCTCGTGCCGTTCATACCAGGCTAGCCAGTCTTCGTATGTGGAATCACGTCCAGGAAGCATAGAGCATAATTCTGTCCAATAGGCTTGCATTTGACCAAAATAAGACTATAGAGAAGAACTACCTTTGTGTTGTATAGCAACGCATAACAGAAGATATGCCTCCCGTGCACCGGAGCACTCTGTGAAGCGCTCAGTGAGACGACGTCACATGGCCCGAGCAGAGGGAAGTGAGCCAATCTCAACAATGAGACCAGAGCCAACACAGTGAGTGAGATAATCTATGACATAAAATTCCTACAACTGCTAGTCCGAACTCTCATTGACATAGAGAACACGTGCGGTTTAAAGATCGGTATCGTCACTGCTAGATGTAACAATGCTAATGGACAATGGAACTGGTCCCAAACTGGTGAGATGATCAAGCAGACGAGCACCACGCAAGACATTTGTGACAATGGTGGACCACCCTGCCCAATCACTTTGATCATTGAGGGGTTGTGGTGGTTTAAGGATCTTTTCTGAAGGAGTCATATTAACAGCAATGTTGTGCACACAACATAAGAACCAATTTTATTTTTCTTCTTCAAAACACCTTCCTCATGGGATCGATAACTTTTTATACTATAACTTGATTGATTGTGCACTTGTATTTTTTAGGTATATGTTTATGTCGCATCAAGGTGGTTTAGGGATCTTTTCTGAATGAGCCATATTAACAACAATATTACGTAGGGAAGGCCTATTTAAGTGTAACACAAAGCTGGAAGGCCCACAACTAAGTGACAATACAAGAGAGGCCCACCCACAACGGATCAACGCCGATGTTGAGACGTTGAGATGTCGAGATGGATTGAAACTGCGATGCCGTTACTGACTGTGAAATGGCGATGCCATTTGTTTAAAGCCGAGAGACGACTAAAAAAAAGAAGCTGAGAGACGGCTAAAACAGAAGCCGAGAGATGACTAAAAAAGAAGCCGAGAGACGGCTTGAAACGGCGATATCGTTACTGAATGTGAAAGGGCAATGCCGCTCCTGTAAGGCCGAGAGACGACTATCACGGAGGCCGTGATGCGGCAAACACGGAGGTGACAACGAAGAGGACGTAATGCGGCGAGGCCAAGATTTGGAAAAAAATTAACCTTGTTCTGATACCATGGTAAGAGAGAGAGAGAGGGAGAGAGAGAGAGAGAGTCTTGAGGTAAATTTCCCTTAATTTTTGTATTGAATGTGTGTGTGTATATATGTGTGTGTGTATATACACACACACACAAGTAGAGGAGGATGATGTGTGCTCTCATAATCAATGTGAGACTAAACCTAATATCAACAAATATATTTATCCTTTTTCACTATATATTACAAGAAAACACAAGAGTATTTATTTGTAAAGTTTTCCCTGACTTAATCTCTTGTACTATTAAAATTTCAGCTTGGCATGGCAAGTGCTCTGGAAACACTTTGTGGCCAAGCATATGGAGCAAAACAACATCACATGTTAGGAGTTTACCTGCAGAGATCATGGATAGTCTTGATCATTTGCACCACCCTTCTCCTCCCTCTCTTCATATTCACAGCTCCGATCCTTCGCTTCCTCGGCCAAGAACAATCAATTGCATCAATGGCAGGAACCTTCTCATTGTGGTTCATCCCTATCATCTATTCCTTCGTCTTCTCCTTCACCTTTCAGATGTATCTCCAATCCCAGAGCAAGAACCGAATCATTGCGTATTTAGCTGCACTATCACTCATTCTCCATATTTCTTTGTCTTGGATAACTGTAACAAAGCTGCATATGGGAGTTTTTGGGGCAATGGGCTCAATGGTATTGGCAATGTGGATACCAATATTTGGTCAGTTTGCGTTTTTATTGTGTGGGGGATGCCCGGATACTTGGACGGGGTTTTCGTGGATTGCTTTCAAAGATTTGTGGCCTGTTATCAGGCTCTCATTGTCATCAGGTGCAATGGTTTGGTAAGGGATCTTTCATCTTCTTCTTTTATTGATGTTTTTTCTGAGAATTTTGAATTAAAATCTCATAGGGACTAATGTTTTTCTGTTCTACAGTTTGGAATTATGGTACAATACTATATTGGTTTTGCTAACAGGACACATGAAAAATGCCGAGACAGAGATTGATGCGCTCTCTATCTGGTAGATGGAGTTTTTTTATCTTCAGTTTAATTAACATTTTTTCCAGTAATATTTTTTATGCACTGATGTTTCGCTTATTGCGCAGCCTCAACATCAATGGATGGGAAATGATGATATCCCTTGGTTTCTTGGCAGCAGCAGGGTATTGTGATCTTTTCATTAATCTCTTCCTCGCATTTGCATTACTATCATCACACTTATGAATGCGATGCATCAACATGTACATGCACATACATGCACACATGTAAAAATAGATAGAACAAAAACAGAATTTTGAAGAAGAAATAAGTTTTTGTTACAGTGTTGTCAATGTGAGAGGTGCAATGCGTTTTTACCCTCACATGCGCAAGGCGCAACCCGATGCGCGCGCCCGAGTGATGCGAGGCGCACACCACACACATAATTTTTCAATATATGTAATCAAGCATGAAAGAACATGTTTTTAGAATTTACATGAAAAATATCATGATAAATAATATCTTACTACAAAATCACAATATAATGCCTTAATTTCTAATGCTAACACCCAACATAGTAGCAAAATTCATAAATTTTCAAATCAAATGTTAAGTCAAGACTAATATCCAAGCAAAGGATTAGTAATGATCCTCAATTGAAGGCTACTTTATGAAATTATATTTTTAAGTAGATCGTATTATAAAATTCATTTCATAGATAATTAATTAACAGCACTATTGTGATATTTGTTTTGCAGTTTAGTTATTTCTCCTCAAAGATATCCAACTAAAAAAATATGCATATGGTTGCTGTGTATTGACTTATTTATGGCCTGAATCTTCTTGACCATCTGAAAATAGATAGATATGTCACAAATACGAACAATGTCAATAGCATGAACTGTGACATCCCTATGTATTAACTAACTCATACTAGTTTTTTGCTATTTGAATGAAATATCTGCAGTAAGGTATTGCTTTCTATCTTACCAAGTTTTGCTGAACTCAGAAATTTGATTGGTCCATTATTTATTTTGTTAATGAAATTACAGTGTTCGAGTGGCAAATGAGCTAGGCGCTGGGAGCGCAAAAGCTGCAAAATTCTCCATTGTTGTGGTGGTCGGTGAATCACTTTCTATTGGATCTGTTCTCTTTGTTTTGTTTCTTTTATTTCGCGGGAGTCTTGCTTATGTATTCACAGAGGACGGAGAAGTGGCAAGTGAAGTCGCTGTCCTCTCCCCTCTATTGGCTTTCTCCATCCTACTGAATAGTGTTCAGCCAGTGCTTTCTGGTTAGCACCCACAAACTCTAAAGCTGATAATACTATGCAGTTACAAAACCATAAATGCCTTGAAATTAATCAGAAGAAACATGATATTTCTTTTAATCTAAAAAGTAACCCACTTATGTTTTTTCCTCAGATAAAATAAGCTGTCAATTAGATATTTCTTGTTCTTCAGTGGAAAAAAAAAAGAAAGTAGCCATCCAACATCACAGTTTCGATCTAGTTTTAGTTGAGGAAAGGACTATCATCATAATTGACAGGTTGATTTTGTTGGGCAAAATTTACTTTTAACTTCGCTGTTCTTAGTTCCTCCTACCTTGCAATTAGTATTTTACGACAGTCCGCCTTCATTACATACCAAGATATAGTTATATTCTTTAGCTATCACAAAAGGAAGAAAGATGTATAATAAGCTATTGAGATGTATAATAGGCTATTGCAATTCGTGAATTTGGAACTGCAAATTGAGAATTTTTATAGCAATCCTTTTATGGGATGACTAACCTTTTTAACACTTTTTGAACATACAAAAAAAAATGATGATCTTTGGTAAATTAGTTTTTGAGAAATAACACGTTTCATGTTTATTGTCATTTCCATGAGCAGGGGTTGCTGTTGGCGCAGGCTGGCAAAGTGTGGTAGCCTATGTGAATGTTACATGTTACTACTTGATAGGGATACCCCTAGGAATCGTGCTTGGATATTTGATTGGTTATCAAGTCAAGGTGAGATACAACATGCACAACTGATATGATCCAGAGAATGAAAATATATCAGAATTGGAAAAAAAATTATGCGTCTAAGAAAGCTAAGTTTCAAATAGATGAAATTTGGACCATAATTTAACTATTGCCTAAACAATTAATTCCTCTTACATTGAGATCTTATGTAGAATTCAATAGCTGGATTATGAAACTATAATAATTCTTTCAATCACCATCTGCAGGGGATTTGGATAGGAATGATATTCGGAACTTTAGTTCAGACAATTGTTCTCATTTGCATAACATGGAGAACAAATTGGGACAATCAGGTAATTGTCGTTATATGATCAACTCCTTTCCTTTTCTATTTAGATAAATTTCACAAACCCCCTTGAATTTTGGTGTGTTATGCAAAACCCCTTTAACTTTGTAGATTCCACAACTTCCCACCCCAAACAAACAAACTTGCATCATTTTGCTACCGTGACTGGCATGGTGGCGCCCTTAACTTTACATGTCATGCGCTCCTCACATGACCAAACACAGTTATTTTTGCCCGTTGTCACCAAATTAAATTTCGTTAATGTCCTTAATTTTCATCTCCCCTCTTTTTTGTAAGGGTATTCTGGAAATTTTGTCTGGCCTTTTAATTACATAACAATAAATTTTCAAAGTTAAGAAAGTTTGTGACCCTTCCCAAGGTTTTGGGGGTTTTGTGGAGTATACAAAGTTCAGGGAGTTTTTGTGAAATGTACTCTCTTTTGGCACAGAATGAATATCCTATTATTTGGCATAAAATAACGTCATACTAAAGCTTTGTTTTTATGTTTAATAAGTGGCATCTCTCTATTTTTCCCATGGATGTGCAGGTAACTATCGCCCAAGCACGGGTTAATAAGTGGCTGATACCAAAATCTGCGGAGACTAATGGTGGTAGAGAAATTGCATGACCAACTAATTAGAAGAAAGTTCTTTGGAAAAAATAAATGAACTCTTTTTTGTGTATTCTAACTTACTCCCAACGAAGACATAGTTGTGGTGATTCATGGTGAAATAGATTTCAACAAAAATACATTTTGTTCGTCTCTTAGCCTATCTATGCCTTTGAGCTTCATACATATCTCATCTTTGGTCGTTTGATCTTCGACCATCACTGTGGATACCTGCACACATGAAAGTGTTGCAAGCATTTGCTGGCTATCTGTTTGTTGGAAAATTTGTAGTAAAAGAAATAATAAGAGAATCGTATTTGATTTATTCTCTCTAACTGCTTAGAAATAGAATGATTACAACTCTCTCAATCTCGATTACAATTGGATTTTCTGATTACAAAAGAGAGGAGATTGAATTTGATTCTCCCCTTTGTTTAATTCTGGGTTCTTCTTGGTAGCGATGGAGTGCCTCCCTCGAATGTTCGCGTCGAGTTTGCTCTCCGTTGACGATCCGAACGTCTTGATTCACTGGAACGTGGTCTTCTCCTCACGATTTGACGTTGTGGAGAGCTTGCGTGGTAAGTTTGAAAATAACTCTTAACGAGTTAATAACTCAGAGCGAGTTTTAGAAGGACTTGCAGAGCAAGTTTTGAAACTCTGGACAAGTTGATAACTCAGGTCGAGTTCAACTCGAGTTTAACTCTGAACGAGTTTGAACTCTTGAAAAAGAGTTGATTTAACCGAAAGTCGGTTATAAGTCAAGGATGAATGCTCCAAGGACTTTGTTGCTGCAGAAAGCTCCAAGATGCCCGATCAAGGATCCCCAAAGAGCCAGCTCCAGCCAGCCGAATATCTCTTCTTTGCTGCCCAAAAAGAAGGATCTGAACTCAATTGAGTTTCGAGGTATTTATAGGGGATTAAGGGGGTGTAACCGCCCCATTAATTTGCTTCTTAATGGGCTGAGTGGGGTGTAACCGCCCCCCATAAATCTCTCCATGATAGGGTAGTGATCCCCTAAAATCTTGGGGGGAAAACAGTTCTAGAACCGTTCAAATCGTGCTTGAACGAGTCAAATGCTGAAAATAGCGTTCTGGGCCTGAACTGTGCGTTTCTGGATCTGAAACGCAGAGTTGGGCCTGAAAACGCACAGCTGAGCCTGTTTTAGGCTGAAAACGCACAGTTGGGCCTGAAAACGCACAGCTGGGCTTGTTTTAGGCTGAAAACACACAGTTGAGCCTGTAAACGCACAGCTGAGCCTGTTTTAGGTTGAAAACGCACAGTTGAGCCTGTAAACGCACAGCTGAGCCTGTTTTAGGCTGAAAACGCACAGTTAAGCCTGTAAACGCACAGCTGAGCCTGTAAACGCACAGTTGAGCCTGTAAACGCACAGTTGAGCCTGTAAACGCTCAGCTAAGCCTGTTTTAGGCTGAAAACGCACAGTTGAGCATGTAAACGCACAGCTGAGCCTGTTTTAGGCTGAAAACGCACAGTTGAGCCTGTAAACGCACACTTGACCCTGTTTTAGGCTGAAAACGCACAGTTGGGCCTGAAAACGCACAGCTGAGCCTGTAAACGCACAGCTGAGCCTGTTTTAGGCTAAAAACGCACAGTTGAGCTTGTAAACGCACAGCTGAGCCTGTTTTAGGCTGAAAACGCACAGTTAGGCCGCACAGAGATGAACTCTGCGTTTTGGACCTGGGATGTAGAGTTGAGCTCTGTATGAACTCTGCGTTTTGATGTTATAACACTGGTTCGACCCGTGCGTTTTGACTTTGTAATGTAGAGGCAAACCTTAGGCGGGCTTGGCGAGCTTCAGGCTAAGTCCAATGTTCAGACGAAGTCCAGTCTTGCAGACGGTCTTCGGAACATAACTTGCTGCGAAGAACATGTCATAACTTTCAAACCGTAAGTCAGAATTGGACGACTTATATATGAAAATCGGCTATCTCGACGAGACGGAGCCATCCGAACCCAGCCAAAGGCTTCGGTTCGCTTCCTCCGTTTCGCCAAATTCCTTACGGTTTGAGAGATATCTGCGTTTTAATATGAAGAGACCGTCAATTTGTAGTCTCTTTTGCTAGAGCGTTGCAAAGATCGTCACCTTGTAAGCTTCGTCTTGGCTTCTTGAAAATATGAGAGTCATCAGATTGTAACTCCCGATGTTGATTGTGAAGGCTGTTGAATTAGAGCTTTCATCAGTTGTCGTGAAGGTCGTCAGATTGTAACCTTCAGCGATCTACGTGAAAGTCTTCAAATTATGGCCTTCTGAAAGTCGTCAGATTGTAACTTTCATCATCGGTATTTGATGGGGGATAAGCTATCTATTGTGATTTTTAGACAGCCTACAGAACCCCCTCCAAAGTTTTCGAAAGTTCACGGTTGACTGGGACGAATTTTCAAAATACTTTGGATCTTAACTCTGATCTTGGCGCTTTGACTTAAGACATGAAAGCGGCTACCGTGCATTTTTGACTAAGTCTTTGAGACTTGTCTTTAGCTCATCTGTTCGGTTCACATCCATCAAGCTAATGGACCTACGAACATGCATAAGATTTTTGGCAAACCCTCAGCCATCAACGGATTTGATAAGCCTTTACTGACTACCGTTTGAATCGGGCTAGCATGTGGATTGTCTAAATCTGTTCCACATGTAACGTTGTGCTAAAAGAATGAACTCTCTTAGACTTCGCGTTATGATTTTGAATACATAGACTTTGTCATTTTTACGGGAAAAGACTAACCGGCAACGCGTGTTAGGCGTAGACTTATCTCTGATTAGGGATCGAGATAAAGTCTCCCATGCGTGTAAAGCATGGATTTTAGCATTATTAATAACAACCTGCTATGATATTGAATACGTAGGTTTTGCCATTATTACGGGAATAGGCTACCCGGCAGCATGTGTTAGATGCAGACTTATCTCTAATTAGGGATCGAGATAAAGTCCCCCATACGTGAAAGGTATGGATTTTGGTGCTACGATGTTGAATACGTAGACTTGGTCATTTTTGCGGGAACGAACCACTCGGCAGCATGTGTTAGAAGCAGGCTTATCTCTGTTTAGGGGTCGAGATAGATTCCCCCAGGTATGAATCCTGGTGTCTTTTTCACGGCGAAAGATTAACCGGCAACGCGTGTTAGGCGTAGACTTATCTCTAATTAGGGATCGAGATAAAGTCCCTCATGCGTGAAGGTATGGATTTTTGGTGTCGTTTCTTCCTGTGTGGCTTGAAACACCGAAAGAAAGTTGGAAGTGCCAGATGTATAGTATTAACTTGGCATGAATTTTCACTTAGAGTGAAATTTAAAAATTTTCTTCACTATCACTAGGATAATTCCAGAAAATCTTTAATCTGCTGGGAATTTTATAATGAAAACTTGCTATTCTTGTTGAAAAAAGGATTAACAAGTTCATTAGGGGGGTTGACTGTTAGAGGTGTTATGTTAACCTAACAATATTTTATGGACCTATCGCTCTATTGAAGAGAGTCGATAAGTTGATTTGGTCATCAGAGGTGTGGTGTTAACTTGACGGGTTTGTGGACCTATCGCTCCATTGAAGAGAGTCGATAAGTGGATTTTGTCAGAGGTGTGATATTAACGTGACAAGAAGAATTTGCGATCGGGCAATTTTGAGGACTTATCGCTCTATTGACGAGAGTCGATAAGTTAATTTTGTCAGATGTGTAGTGTTAACGTGACAGGATTTGTGGTGCGATCAGAGCAACTTTGTAGACTTATCATCCTATTAACGAGGATTGATAAGTGAATTTGTCAGAGGTGTATTGTTAACGTGACAAGATTTGTGTTGCGATTGGAGCAACTTTGGGGACTTATCATCCTATTGACGAGGATTGATAAGTGGGTTTTGTCAGAGGTGTATTGTTAACGTGACAAGATTTGTGTTGCGATTGGAGCAACTTTGGGGACTTATCATCCTATTGATGAGGATTGATAAGTGGGTTTTATCAGAGGTGTATTGTTAACGTGACAAGATTTTGTGTTGCGATTGGAGCAACTTTGGGGACTTATCATCCTATTGACGAGGATTGATAAGTGGGTTTTGTCAGAGGTGTATTGTTAACGTGATAAGAATTTATGTTGCGATTGGAGCAACTTTGGAGACTTATCATCCTATTGACGAGGATTGATAAGTGGATTTTGTCAGAGGTGTATTGTTAATGTGACAAATTGGGAGTGATGCAAACTGAATGCATACTCTGTGGGGGTGATGATCGTCTGAAGTGTAATGTTAACTCGACGATGTGAAAGATTCGTTACTCTTAATCCAGTGGATTCCAAGTAACCAACCCCTAGTCTTGATTAAGACTTAACAGGGGCATAAAAAGAGGTAGACAAGACACATCGCCCAGTGGGGCACTATCCATGAAGTCAGAATAGAAGCACATCACCTGGTAGGCCATTATCTGATGAGTTTGGCTATCAGAGGTAACTGTTAACGTGATAGTTTTGTGGATTTTTTGAAGAGGATTGGTGGGGGAATTTGGAGGAAATGAACTATCAGAGGTGATCATTAACGTGATAGTTTTGGTAGACTTCGTGGTTGACAGAGGTACTCTATTGAACATGACAACTCAGAGAATTTATTATTTATAATCCAAAGAACTACAAATAAACCAACACCCAGTCTTGAACAAGTGTAGGGGGAAAAAGGGTTGACATGACACATCGCCTAGTGGGCCACTATCCATTGAATTTGACTATCAGAGGTAATTATTAACGTGATAGTTATTGGAGACCCGGCATCCTACTGAAGATGATTAGCTTCAGTGGCCGTAGTATCTTCCCCTTCTGACTGAGGAGATTGGGCTTGGTCCGATTACTCTGGAGAATGTTGGGCTTGGTCCGATTGCTCAGGTTGATCCTACCTACTTTGTTCTTCAGCTTTGATTCTGGCAATAATCTTTTAAGCCTGTTCGCCTTGAGAGATTAGTTGTCTCCAGGAACGGCATTCTGCAACTCCGATTCGGGCTAGGAGGTCGGTCTGCAAGTTGTGTCGACAGGTCTCTACTAAAGTAGACTGTGTCATACCTGACGAACACCGGAGAACCATGGTTCGGAACCTTTTGACGAAGGCTTTGACGGATTCCCTCTTTTTCTGCTTAGTGGCGAAAAGGGTATGGATGGAGACTTCTGTATTCTCTTCAAAGAATCTTGATAGGAAT